CCGAAGACGATTACGTAGATTTTTCAACTCTTAACTAATATCATTAGATCATAATAAATTAGTTAATTTTTTATTGACTTCTTATTGATCGTAATAAATTAGTTTTGGAATTTCTAATTGAATTTAAATTCATCATTAATCTTCATCACGGATAATATAAAGTACAAAATAAAATACTTCCTTCAACAAAGAATAAACTTCTTGCCCTTGTTATTCATAAATCATCTGAATTGTCCTTGGCACTGCCACTCATTCTCAATCATTTTCTCCAGCTTGAATACTTCAAATCAATCCGCACATTTTCATCCATGCATCATCGAACGATATATATCATCCTATACTAAAGAGGCGATAAACGATAGTTCAATATCGATGGAAATTATTTCAAAATCATCATACACGTAGATATCGAATGTCGTTGTTGGGTGGTGGTTGCCAAAACGATGGTGAAACGTTGGCAATCACAGTGAGGCCACTGCAAACACGAATATGTACTTGGCAAAAGTGCCTTTGAATTATTGTAACAGGTGGCACAGCTTGCTTCGTAGAGGTAACTAACTAAATCTTCGGTATTTACCGGTCTTTTGATTATCGTCCAAGGGAAAGAATAACAAGGTATTACTGGGAAATTCTTGTTTAAAAATTATCGAACAACTCGCCGAGTTGCATTCGAATTTTATGTAATATATTAATCAAGCGCAACAAAATCGTTGAAACGTTTCCCAGTCTTTTGATTATCTAAGAGAAACAAGATGTTAGCGAGAGATTCTTAGTTTAAATACTTTCATATAAATCATTGGTGAGTTTCAATGAAATATATTTTTTATAGGTAAGTCTGAGATTTTGTTCGGTCGAAGATAGTTGCAAATTGGTGACCTAGAAACATCCAGCTTGACAAATGAATTTTTATTTGCTCGCGTGTACCTTTTGTCCGTGGATCGATCGCTATGCTCGTAACAGAGCTTCCGTGTCCTTACAAAATGAAATATAGAATATATATTTGTATATCGGGGACAGTTTGTGTCATTTATGTCTACAAATAAAACAAAGATCATTCGCCCGTGATAAAAGGCGTAATTGATCTTTATACTTGAAATCTTGTTTTCGACAGCTTAATCTTAAAGATTCGAAATCAGTGATATTGTAAAATCTTAAATATGTAAGTGGAGCACGGGCGAGTGTAATCACATTTTTTAGAATGTTCTAGAATTTTTTAGGATCTCTGAAATTAACCGAGAATAATAAAGTATCACGAAAGAAAACTAAGATCTGAGGAGTATAATTCCACCATTAATGATGAAAATTTGTTATAACTCCGTAAAAAAAAAAAAAAAAAAAAAAAAAACATACAGTAATTCACTTTGTTTCATTTCAAGGTGTAAAGTCCCTACTTTGACAATCTGGACTTTTTTTTTTGTTCAAATTTTTACTTTCCTACGTGAAAGGTACTCTAATCAATCGTAACAATTCAAACATCTCTAAAAATCATTGAAAATTCTCTTTTCATAACTAGATTCATCATGGTCTTGGAGGATTCAAGTTTTC